TAAAGCTGCATGCTTTCACTTCTTCTGAAGGACATATGCCGATTATACATGTACAATTAGTGCAACATTTCTCTGTCTCTGTTTTTTATATAACAACAAACCTACCCAAATCCTACTCACTGGTCCTAAAGGACCGCTTTAATTCATAAGGACACAGTCAAATGACAGACACAGTCAAAAGAAAGGTAGAGCAAGAAGACGACAGTAGCCCAAATTGAATCGACACAGACAAATGTTTTGTCAGGTGAGCAATAGAGTATCTTATTGTTAAAAAAGCTTTGTCACAACTAAAGTACAGTTTAAAGTACATATACACTGGTTCAGTGAACATAGACAGTGTGCATGTGCCATCAATTTGGCACAAATGGAACTCCATACTGAAGGAAACAATGTTAAGAGACATACCCTAGGGTAGAAACTGCTGCTGGTGTCACATGCATTGTGTTTTATTCTTGTTCTGTTTCCTTAGATAGGAAACAGAAAGGTGTGTGTGTGCATGTGTGTGTGAGAGAGAGAGAAAGAAAGAGAGAGTGAGAGAGAGAGATTAAAAACCCTAAACCGTATAAACTCTGTCCTTTGTCTGTACTGCTGGGAGTGTGTGGCGGGCAGGTAGATATAATGTCGAAAGAAAGCAAAGGACCACTAGATGGCCCCATTATTCTGCAGCGTGCCTGCTTTAATGAAACAAAGAGCAGCTGGGATGAGATCATCAGGCAGACTAGTGCAGACTTTTCAGTATAACCATGCTTGAAATCTCAAATCTACAGATGAAAACACAAAGACATTAAATCCAGTCAATTCAAGAATGTGACAGTCAGTGTGAGGTGATGCTACATGTGCTATCAGAGAAATAATCATGGAAACAGACTAACGCACAAAAGAAACCCCAACTTACATTTAGCCTACATGATGAGACCATTCAATACTATATGACGCACTGCAACTAGAGATAGTGAGGTGCATTTTCCTCAAGATATTCCAGCCAACTAGAGGTATAAATAAAACAACTTTTTAGTTTTTATTTCCTTCGTGGCCCCGAGTCTTCTGCGTGAATTCCGCCCAAATGAATAAAGTCATTATAGAAACATCTTAGGAATGCAAGTTATAATGTATGTTGTGCCATATCTCTCTGTGCCCGCCTGCTATGTAGAGGAAACAACACATCAGTCCGTTATATAACTCCTTGGACTTCCGAAGCATTCATTCAGTTATTTTCCTCTCTCCACTGCGTACGAGAGGCTCGCGACCGTTGGCTGCTGCTGCGCCGCGGGAGCGAGTTGGAATGTATTGACGTCAGAAGGAAGCTGGACACGCGCGCGCGCGTACGTGTACGCGCATGCGCGCGCACGGGATGTTCAGTCTTGTGTTTCTGCGGAGCGGGCGCGCGGGCACACAGCTCGAGACTCTGGTATGAATTGAGGAGGACGGTCGCGAGAAAAGTATGTGCACACATGGACCGCGAACATGGAGGATTGTGAGAGACAACGAGACGGCGGCGCTGTCAGCTGCTGCCACTGAATCCAGCGGTGACACCAAGTGTGAAGCTGTGCAGTGACAGAAAGAACCGTTAGCTGAGCGGCACGCAGCTGCGGGATATCCGCACAACAATGGTAAGTTGTCAGCGGGGCTACTGTGTTCAGCGCTGCCTCTGGTCCGGCAGCAGCAGTGTGGTCCTGCGGCGCTGTCAGTGTCAGTGAGGTTGTTGGTAGCGTTTGTTTGGAGGTGTTGAGCGGCTGTCAGGAGGATGACTACATGCGTATGTGCCAACTCGGGACTGCAGTTGAGGCCAAGTAGAGAACAGCTGGCCGCAACACAAGTGTAGCAGCCCGTAGGCGAGATTACGCGGTGTTTTGGATCTGATCAAACTGCACAGCCAAGGATATCAGCGCACAGGAACACGGCGAGGCCTGCCTCTGTCCACTTGGCCCAGTGGAGCTGTGAGAGGGGCTTTAAACGCGCTGAAAGCGGCTGCTGTTGTCTTTAATGGCAGTAGTGATGCTGCTATATATAGGGACAAGTAAGTGATGATGAGGATGAGCAGGATAAGTGGACAGTGGGAAGTGCATTGATGATGACCATGGTAATGAAGATGATGATGGCAGCTGAACTTGTTACCCTGGGGAAGGTCTGATGATGACATCATCAGGTCTGATGCCACCTTCTGACCCTCTTAGCCAAACTAATGACACGCAAACACACATTCACGTGCACATACACACATACATACATTATGGTTTCTTGTTACAGTATTGATTTGGCATGCCATTTGTGCTGGATGGGTGTTATTTGAGATAGAGCCAATCGCAGCCCATCACAGACAATACAAGAATATTTTATCCTCTCCTGCTCTCATTGTACTATAATTGTATACATTGTAATCTAGTCTTCACCACTTCATTTAAACGTGTTCCGTCCTCTCTGCCTTTGTTAAGAGATGTGAAATATCAATCTATTTCTGGTCCAGTGCTTGAAGGGATGAGGCATTAGCAGCAGCTGACCTCATCTAAGCCCTTTTCCCTTTGGGCCAAAGGCCAAAATCATCAGCACTGTCTTTTGCCTCATTGTGTTGTTCTTTCTTTGTCCTGCCAGGCGACTCCCCACCACTGAGGAACTTTGCTGGACTGCACCCCCATCCTCCCTCTGTCCCCGACACCTTGACACAGCTATTTCCCGTCTCCTTTTTGCTTTTACCATCCTCTTGAAGCCTTCAAAACTGCCTCTACCCTCTTCCCTTCCAAATCCCCTGTTGGTTTCAAACATGGACTCCTCTGGAGAAATGACCTCAGCCCAGGATGGACATCTCAGCCCCAGGAGCAGCCCCAGCCGCTCTGATCTCAGCGGACTGTACCATCTGGGTCGGACGTTGGGCAGGGGGCACTTTGCTGTGGTTAAGCTGGCTCGTCATGTCAACACCGGGCAACTGGTTGCTGTCAAGATGATTGACAAGACAAAACTCGATGTCATGGCAACAAGCCACCTCTTACAGGAAGTGAGGTAAAGAATACTTATTCTGGAAGACGGGGGTTGTGAATGAAAGAGCACTTTGTACTCCGCTATTTTTTTTAGATCAGCTTTAATGGGATTTCAAACAGACATGTTGATTGTTTGTAATCCCTTTGAATCTCCTCTGAGCCAAAAATGGAACCAAAAAAAAGCTTCTGTCTCAATTTGAAGTTGCCCTGAAGGAGTTGCACCACTCAAAGCATCCTGATTAAAAGTTCAGCTAATATTCTTAGCCCGTTATCTCACCAACATTACTAATTATTTTCAGGTGTATGAGGCTGGTGCAGCATCCCAACGTGGTCCGCCTCTACGAGGTCATCGACACACCCACCACCCTCTACCTGGTCATGGAGCTGGCCGAGGGGGGCGACCTCTACGACTACATCCTCCGCCATGAGGGAGGCGTCGCTGAGGGCACCGCCAAGCGACATTTCGCCCAGATTGTGCGCGCTGTGGCGTACTGCCACCAGCTCCACGTGGTGCACCGGGACCTGAAGCCTGAGAATGTGGTGTTCTTTCCCCAGCAGGGGGCGGTGAAGCTGACAGACTTTGGATTCAGCAACTTATTCCAACCCGGGACGATGTTGGCCACCAGCTGTGGGTCGCTGGCGTACTCCGCTCCAGAGATCTTGCTGGGAGAAGAGTATGATGCTCCGGCTGTGGGTGAGAAACAGAATTTTTTATTTTATTTTGAAACTGAACTGTTGGTCTAGATCCCAACCATCAAATCTGAAAAGCAGAAAACACACACATACATGCTATCAAGTTATGTTTATTTTGTTGGACTTTCCTCTAAACTTATTTATAACTTGTTTTTTTCTAAATTACTGGACATTTGGAGGACTTTTGGTAATGACCGGCAGACATAAGCAACCAGTGACGAGGGCTCACAACTAGTAGAAATCTCTTTGTTAAAGGTAACAAGCTATTAGCAACCACTGGCTTAGATAAGCAAGTATGTGGTGCTGATGCTGACATTACACATTCAAATAATCGCCAGCGGTTGTGTGCAACATCGAACATTGTCATGTTCTCAGATCAGCAAAATCTGTCTAAATTTAAGTGAATACACCCACTTTAACATAACCTAAGTAATTCACTTATTTCCCACGCTGAACAGAGCAATCTTACCTCAAGGTCCCTTTAGTAGCTGTTCTGGAGCTTTCGATCGTACTACACTATAAGCAGATGAGGTGAAGTTATTTGTTGTGCTGTTTAAAAAGTTAAGAATAATTGTTTGTGTTTGTGCCTTTTTACATGAGCCTGTGTGTGTGTGTGTGCATTCATCACTTTCCCTATGCGTGGCCCCATTTGTCTCTTTGACCCTGCGTATGTATTCCTGTGTATTTTCCTGTATCTTACTGTGTGTGTTCCTGCTCTGTATACCCGTCCATATTTATGCGCTTGTATGTGTTTGTGCCTTTGTGTATGTATGAATCTGTGTGTGTTTGTGTGTGTGTGTGTGTGTCCGTAAAGGATTAGTGTGTGTATCTGGGTCAGTCTAAGCAAGCCAGCCAGTCATGAGCCAACTGGGCACGTTCTGCAGTGGAACCAAACACTGCAGCTCAACACCGGCCTCTCACACTGCATAGCAAGCATTTATGTATGAGTGTGTGTGTGAGAGAGAAAGAGAGCAAAAAAAAGGTAGCACCAAGCATCACTTTTGATCCATAGTTGAAAGGTTGACTGAGGGATTTGGTCCCATGTCCCCTGTGGGGGGGGCACAGCATGATCAGTTCAGGGAGGTTGGTGGTCTTATCTGCTAAACTGGACTAGGCTGGATTTTGACATTTATTCTGGTGACTACAAAAGAATCTGCACTGAATACAAATGTATCCCAACTGCAATTAGGAGCTGTTCTTGTGGAAGGACATGTACAGCATTTGTTTTTGTTTAAAGGCAGTACGGCTTATGGCAAGGATGCATTGCAAATGGGTCCAAACCAGTGGAAGTGTTATTTCACAAACTTGAATTTTCTTTTTCCCATATAACCTTGCGATGTCGTCTGCTCGTAATGTTCTCAGTGGGATTGCACCCATATAAAAAAAATAGTGCTGATGAAGAAACACTGCTCATATGCATCCATAATTCAACATGACTCATGAGCCACATTAGTTCCTTTTCTCATGTTAGTTCCTGTTTCTAAAAGCGTCCACACGAAGGGCGTCCATTTAAACCCATTTGTGTGTGTTTTATGATTACATCCTCCAAGACTGTTTTCTGCTTCACTTCAACTCAAGTGCACTTTTCTGTTCTATTTCACTCTGACATGACTCAACCTGTGGTCGATATATGATTATATCATCACTTTGATAGAAATGCACACTTCCATCACCCCCACACACACACACACACATAAATACACGTGTGTGATAATCCTGAGCTGCACAGAGGAAGAGATGTCCCTTAGTGATCTCAGCTTAGTAAGGTGACTCATAAACCCGTCTCTACACTCTCACTCACACACATAGACCGCTCTGTGTGTCTCTTTGATATTTCTGTCAATAAACAGACTGCTGTTTAATTCACTGCAGTGCCTTCTCCACTGGGAGTCTTTACAGTATATGTGTGCTCTGTTTGAGGACATGGTGGGTTGTGTGTGTGTGTGTGTGTGTGTGTGTTGTCTGTGGTGTGTGTTGTGTTGTGTGTGTGTGTGTGTGTGTGTGTGTGTGTGTGTGTGATGATAGTCATATGATTCGGTGGAGAGACAGGAAGGTCCACAGGGCCTCTTGCCTTTGACAAAGATAAACACTGCCTATAGTTACATAATATCGGCCCGTTACTGTGTGCATGCATGTGTGTACAGTTTTTGAGGTCAGAGTGTTAATGTTAAGCTTCGCTAATGAGAAAAGGACTTGAAGTCAGTGGTACATGCTTGCTGCTAATGCTACATATTTGTATTTTCCTGTATCTGGGCCAAATAGTTTTTTTATTCATTTAGTGATTTGCACTTAAGATTTGGATAGAATTGACTCAACCTGGCTTGTCATATACCAAGAAGGCCACAAGTTCCAGTTTGTGTAGATATGACAACAGCTGGTGAGTTATGACCAAGAAGTTGGGCTTGGCAATAAAGTTACGGAACTGTCAGATAAGAAGGGAGGGAGACCTAAATTGGTTGAGTATGTTCTGTGTAGGAGGAACTTCTGCATTTGGCAGATGCTGTGAGCCTCTCTGGGCGTCAGCTACTCACTGTTATTTACTCAGGAGACATTGTGACATGTGCTTACAATGGAAAGATAAATCCTAAAACGTATTAACTTTAAGAAAAGCAGATGATGGTGGTGTGTTTTGTATTTTTTTGATGTGGTCCAATTGTCTTATGCAGACAGTGTAACATCCCTTTAATGTGTTTTTAGTTCTCTTTAGTTAAGAGTTTTCATATAAACCTGAAGGCTGCTGGTTTGTTTATATCAACAAGGACTTTTCTAGACCTTGCAAAGCCCAGAACCAGCACACCACTACTAGACGTGCTGGAGATAATAAAAACAGTGCCGAGAACAAATCATCAGTGTCGGGCAAGCTACTTGGAAAGTGTAGTGAGCTGAGCTACCACTTACTCTACGTTAAATGAAGCTTCACTTCACTGAAGCTAGCATGAAGAGAAATGTAGCAAGTTAAGTTTTAGACTTAGCCTGTCAGTGGCAAAAACAAGCACCTTTAGTGGATGTACTATGAAATTTCACATCTATTTTCTTATCTAACTCTTTAAAATAAGGGTTTATTTCAACCAGGTTTGTAATTGTTGATGTTTTTGGTGAGTTTTATTTTGTTTTTATCTTGCTATGTAAAATTACTGGTTTTGTCGAGGGAGTCTGGTCTGCCCATGGTTTTTGTCTGAGATGCTGGTGCTATAGTGTGACATAAGTGTACATATATATATATATATATATATACACACACACCCATCACCCTGGTGGTCAGAATGTTCTG